TATCTTAAAAGAAATTTTATAAAAGTTTCCCAGACTTTTGGGGGATTGCGATATTCCTTTAAGGGCAAATGAGGCAAGAGTGAAATATAATTTTGTATTTGGATTGTTATTAATATTAATGAAATAGTAGAGTAAGGGATGAAATCATTTCTTCTTTTTCAGAAGCATTTGAGGTGTCTTCCTTCATTTTAGGTATAGCAAAATATAAATTATGAATGGTGGATTTTTCAAATTTTCGTTTACATATTTACATTCCCTGTTTTGTTGTAACTCGGCTAAATTGTTTCTTATAGAGATAGTAAATTTTTAGAGATAGTAAATCATCGATTTGAGATAAATAATTAAAATATAGTTTATAGTATATAGTTTCTTTTGATAAGATTAATTTAAATTTTGTTGAAATAAATATTCGCCTATTTCTCCAGAACGAATTATATCTGTGTAAAAATAATTTTAGATTCTCTTCTCTAATACCTAGTATGGTACCTAATACCTAATATGTTTTAACATAAAATGAACCAAGATATGTGTATTTCTTCTACTCTGACATTTTTCCTTTTTATCGCTCTTGTATATTTTTATCTTGTTTAATTTCGTTATCACTATTTCCTTGAGATTATCCCTCTTCGATTTCCTGTCTCAGCGATTTACGCCGAGGTAATTCCACTGATAAAAGTTAATATCGAGAACGGTGTTCGTATGTGTAAACCCCGGCTTAGACTGCTAACCTCGTTAATATTCAATGGTCATACCAACCGTACGCTGTTGTCGTAAATTTCACGAAGTTCCTTCATACGATCTACGATATCGCTATTTTTTCCAGCAACTTAATCGAGATAAGTACGTAATCTAATATAATACGTCTGACTCAATCAATTCTATACTGGCTTATTGAATTTCCTTTGGTAATCCTTTCACACAGTAGACAGTTTTCCTTCGTTATTTCAGAAGACTTAACCTCTTGTTCGAAACGCAGGTAACAAACTTACAAAGTAACGTAGGTACGAAATTAAAAAATTGTATAATTATAAAATTATAAATGTGGAAAATCAAATGAAATCAGATGAAATTACTAAATTAGGCTAGTATGTGAATGGTTGCTAAAGCAATCAAGTTACTAAAGGATTAAATTATTATGTTATAAAATTACTAAATGTACAAAGTCACTAGTTTCTCTATAATTTCTCCAATTCTTGGTGGATTTGGTTGATATTAAAATTGATTCGTGGACAATAATTTCTGATATAAAAGGGGTAAATCATAATAGTAACGGGATTAGTAAGCGTGAAATTTACTGATCATCTAGGGATTTTCGTTCGATAATTGTCAAGCGGACGGTAAAATGACCTTGCAATCAGGCTCGTTGGAGTTTCAATGGACTAATCTGTTTATCTTCGGCAAAGCGGCGTAGAGCTCTGGCTGTTCGTGCGGATCGCGATTCAACTAGTTAGGTTTTCGGGTCAATGAACCGACCTCAAACCAGCCGAAAAGTCGGACTGGTCGAATCGTTGATCGTAGAGCTAGGTCTTGGTTCTAAGTCTCGCTCATTAGAATACTTGTCGTCGAAATCGAGTCTCGCTTTGAAGATTCCAGGTGTCGATATCGATAACAGAACAGCGATTAATTTAACGAATTAGAAATTTCAGTAGATGTTATTCTACTTTTTATTCTTTATTTTCATTCGTTAAAATTATTAAAATTAAAATATCCAGAAGTCCTAATGGCGAACTTTGAGTTCACCACGCGTCATTTTTATTCCCACTTTCTTACCGTGTACGTCCCTAGGGGTGCCTCGATTCATGTAAACCCTGTTCTCCCTTTATACTCGTTGCTCGTCTCATTGATCATGCATGTGATCATTCTAATTACCTCAAGTAGCACGTTATCTATTCTCGTTCGGCTAAAGGGGTCCAAATTATCTTAACGTCAAGCACGGTTTGCTACATCTAACGACGCACAGACTTCCCGTCGAAGTCTCACGCAATCCGATTATCTAGACGCGATGTCGAAATAGATGCAAAGCCAAAACGCAGGCAGGGCCCTAAGGGGTTTGCGTCTCCACATATTTGATGAGGAAAAGGTTTAGCTCGACGTCACGTGCAAATCATCGAGCATTCGGACATTATCGAATCACAACTCACGTCGATTAATAAATAAATCGTTTACAGCGCAAATCGATTAACTCCACTTTTTGAAAAATCTTAAACATAAAAAGTTATCACTATACCAAGTGCTTTGACACTTAAATTTCAGATTTTTCAAAAAGTGAAATTAATCAATTTGTGCAGTGAATAGCTCAAATCATATCAGACGAATAATCGTGACTTAAGAAAATGATAATTTACATATGTATATTTACATATTTATAGTCATATATTATAAATTAAAATATTAATTACGACAAAGGTACTAGCTAGATCTAATAACTCAATTTTTCTGCTATTGTGTTGAAAATAATTTTATTTTATCTCAATGTAAGTGAACACTTACATATAGGATAATTAATGAAATTATTTCTTTCGCATTTTTGACTGAGATTACTTGCACAGGTAATACAGTTGACCACGTGTACCAGTTATTAGAAAGATAAATATTTTACTACATTGCTTTGTCATATAATTATTAGCAAGGTGGGTTAAAAATTAAATGCACATGCACGTTGAATTAATTTAAAAATTTAGACACCTCGTTGTTAATTTTCCTGGGCTGGAGTTTTCACCAGAGGTTCACGATAATGAGAATTACGTGAAAGTTGTAAAATATTCTACAATTTAAAGCATGCAGAATGAGTCTAGGTAAATATCGTAAAAGTTTATATGCGTATTATACGTATTAGAGTTAGGAAAGTAAATATTAATTCACCGGGAACCTGGGTTATGTATATAGATAATATTAAGCCATATTTTTAATGGCTATTTTATGTTTAATTAAACTACTAGTTTTAATATACACCTGTGTATACAATGGTCACGTATTGCGTAAGTTTCGCCTATGCCCTCGTAATTCTTGCTAGTTTCGCATTGACGTAGGTACACTATGAATTTTAAACGACCGCGCAGGTAAAAAACGTTTGAATTTAATTAAAATGCATGCTATAACATACGGTGGTTTAATCTCGACAGAGGAAACAAAGGATAACCACGTGAGTCCTTTTTTAGTTTCGGTTCTTCTTTCCGGCACCCTGTACCATAAATGTCGATATCACGAAACACTGAATTTGAATAAAATTGGGAAACAAAAGGCGGAAAAGTATCGATTTTCATTGCACAAACGAAAACAAAAGGAATCAAAATGTCATTAATACATTTATCGACAAAAAATTAAAAATTAGGTTGTTAAAATTAGAGCAATAATTTTGATTTTAGAAAAAATAAAAAACCTAGAATTCAATTTCGAAATACAGTTAAAAAGTTAGAAATAGAATAAGATCGTTTTGTTGTCAGTTTGCTACCGAAGTGGAATAAGTTCCATGTATAATTTTCGTTGTAATTACATAGAAGTTAGGTATCGCTACCGTGGACATATCGAAACACGAGTTTCGTATTTACTATGATAGCTGTTTATCAGTATCCAGTTGCAGTGGTAAACAAGAGAGATTTGTTTCTCCGGAAGGATCGAGAACCGCAATACCGTTGTTATCGTGTCCGCAAATTGCGAGTTGAATTCGGGCACACGCCTTGTCGCGTGTAACTCACGACTGCTTCCTCGAATGCTCTCGTGAATTTTAACTAATCCGTCCTTTATGAATTATATTTTCCATTCACCGGCAATAATTATATTTCATCTGCTAGAGGAAATTTAACACCTTCCACACGCTTCATGTACTATTTTCAAAAACATCAATCGTAATTTATTCCCTTTAGAAAATTCATAGAGGTCAGTATCTGCAGGAAGTGGGGAAGTCAAGTGATTTATAAATATAATAACTTCAACGCGTCGTTTAACACAGTTAGGTAATTATTTCTTAATGTTTATTAAATATTTCATACCGAATACATTCGGTATTTAATAAATCTTTAATATAACATTCTGATATAATAAAATCAATGAAACGTGTTCGCTATTAATGCAGTTGATATATTTTATTCCCTGTTCAATGCGAATTTTAAATTGCCATTGTCATTGCCATTGTCGTTAACAATAAATTTGATAATTTATACATTCCATAAATTAAAACTGTATTCACACCTCTGTAGGATAAATTTCCATGATATGTATATTTGTAACAAAATATTCTTATTTTCCCTGTATTTCTGATTAAAATGAAATTTAACTCACCTAACTTGTAAGGCGAGAATTATCCTAACGTCCTTAATTTTTATGCAACACTTCACTTTAGCCAAAAAATCGTGCCCTTTTATAGAACCTCGCATATTTCGTAAACCGAGAATGATAGAGCAATTTCAATTACGGACTCGTGACCAGAAAAGTAAAGTCTGCGAGAATCGCCCAATGTGTATTACAGATTAAGGAAAAAGTTCAAATTTGTTGGACAGTGTAATAGGTACGAGTAGCATTGTAGATAAGCGTGCGCCCCAAAATTGTACATTCAGGAGAACGCAAAGTCCCCTAGAATTTCTCAGAAATTAGATTTCACGATGCACAGTCCCACATCGTTTATCCACCCGTCCATTCGGTGCAAAACATCGTGGAAATTATCCATTTAAAAACCTTAAACAGCCATATCAATTCAGCGGCCAAGGTAAAACCGTGATCCTTGCACGCGTTTCACTAAAAATTCCAAACTCACAGAACTTCAAACCACAACACGAACTCCGCGGTGTGCATCGCACATACCAACGAGTCGACCGACACGCCGAGTAGTAGAGAGAAATCATTCAACATAACCAGAGAAGTGAAACTCGCAAAGAACCCCATACCCACCGAGCAAATGCACTCGCGAAGTTGCGGCCCGCTATCTAAACGACAAAACGACGAGAACAAAGAAAGCGGAGAGAAAGAGCAAGGAAATTGAACGAATACTGAAATTTCTGTTACAGTGCAGCGGCCACGCGGTGAGGTGCTTCGCGGGTGGTCCACGCAAGAGCAACGAGTCGCAGTGTCCAATGCTGCAGAAGCTCGAGAAGCCCGTCCTCTCCTCGTCAACGACGACCACGCCACCGATGACGTCGACCAAGTCGACGATCGTGAGGAACCACCTGAACAGCACCTGTAGCGTGACGAATTCTCCTCACCAGAAGAAGCAGAGGTTCCAGCATCATAATGAGCGCCTTCATCGTCTGTTGGCTACCGTTTTTCGTATTGGCCCTGGTCAGACTGTGTTTATCAGACCCCCAAGCCATCCCGGCGTTTCTATCCAGTCTGTTCCTTTGGCTCGGTTATTGCAACAGCCTATTGAACCCCATCATCTACGCAACCCTAAACAGGGACTTCAGAAAGCCGTTCCGCGAGATCCTCTACTTCCGTTGCAGCAACCTGAACCGCATGATGAGGGAGGAGTTTTATCAGAGCCAGTACGGCGATCCTATCAACAACTGCGACATGAAGGCAAGCGAGATGGACGACGCCGAGCGTCTGAACAATCAGGGTATCGAGGCGATCGACATCGCCGCGAGCGCTCCTAACGAGAGCTTCCTGTGATCTCAGAGTGATCTCGATCGTCAAACCGATCGCGAGACCCTCGAAACGGACCTGGATCAACCATGATCTCGGGTCTAACTCGACTATCAGAGGACTACCGTCGAGCTCGATCGATGTTCCGGTTTCGCGAACGAAACCGATCCTAGATTATCCGCAGGCTGGTAGAACGTAACTCTGCTTTCGATTTCCGATAACTGGCTACCCGATGGACTTGGCCGTTCGCCACGTTGCAATTGGATAGACGAACCGTGACGAGAGTCAAGATCTAATTTCTCCCGGAGACTTCCTTCCAACTGACTAAGTAAACGTATTCAAAATCGTAACTGTACGTTCGATGATCATGCATGTTAACGTAGACTCAGCGACTCGGTCGATTTCTCGTCTTAGATCATCCGAAGCGGGTCGAAGAATCTAAATGACCTGTTCCCGACAAGTATCGCTATTTTCAGCTGGATCGACCTCTGCAACCTGTCGCGTCGTGGTCAGGCGTCCAAGAGAGACCTCGTGAAATCCTTTTCGTTTCGTGACAGGCGAAGAAATGGTCCAAGCACTGTCTCTGTGGAGCGACAGCAGCTGCAAGAACAGACGCTGCTCCGACTGCACTGGGATCGCGTGAAGAGTGAGACGCGGTGAAGAAGGGTCGGCAAAGAAATTCTCTTAGGGTTTAAACGTGATTGTCTCGGCTTTGAGAAACAAGAACGATACACTAGAGAGCTAGAATGCTTGTTTACGATATTAAGTACGTTCCTCGATCGAGGTGTCCATGATGCGCTGACGAAACGAGACTCGCGTTCTCGTGGATAATCATGGTCTCTGATATTGTACAGAAGATACGATTAACTAATCTGTGTAGTGTCGCGTCGATAATCCTGAACGGTGTGTAACTAGCAAAATGTGAGATGTGTCTTGAAAATAGAAACTCTTCCGAAAAACGCGTCTACCAGTGTACACGGTTTTCGAAAATTGCGATGCTCGAGAGAAAAGCAAATTGGCGTGCGTTTCGATCGATACTGATCTTTCGATGATGGAATCCGCGTGATTTATTCCGCGCGCCGGAATATCGCCGATTATCTATTGGAGACACGCGAGATGCTGAAATTAATGCTGGAATTAATGCTGGAATTTAAGAGCAATTTATAGAGGGGAAACTTCATTGGATTTAGTTCCCTGTATTGTTTCAGCAATAGAGTATTTATTAATTAGAATGAATCACATTGTATTTAAGGGTGTAAATTTGAAGTAAAAAATTTAAACGTTAGTAATATTCGGTATAAAACGGATCCTGGCTTAATACGACTTATAAGTGAGATCAGAGAAACATGAAAGTTTGTCGCAAAACTATCGATGTTTCGCCAATTTTTAACCAATTATTTATTGCGGTATAAACGAAAGCGAATAATACTTAAATGATTTAATTTTCCACGTGGAATTGTATACGTATATCATGCTTCGAAATGTACTGTATAAAAATTACCGATTAAGTTAGTAGATAGTAAGAGATAAAGAGGTACGAGGGACTGAAAGGATTAATGCAGGAGAATTAGGTAACGATTTTTTTAAATGCGATTCCCGAAAGGAAATAACAGAGGGAGAGGAGATAATGTACAAAACGAGAATAGAAAATCAGACACGCAACACGTTCCAATGGGAAATGTCAATTGGAAAATCGAATCGCCTGTTGAAAAATTACACACGAGAGCAGTAAAACCATCGAGTACGCTGGATTTTCTTGCATCTCCTGAGTGAATTGCAGAGATTTTACTGCCTATTTAAATCGTTGGGTATCCCTGGAGTCAGTGGGTCAAATAGATCCTGAAAAATGGCAAGATTTGTCAATAATAATCCTATCTAATCAAACGATACAAGGCACCCCATGTAGAAAATAAATCTTTGTTAAAAAGAGAGAGATATTATTTTGGAGTAAGCAGAAGAAAAGAGTAATGGAAAATTAGCAACAGTACATAAAATCCAAATACGTTGATAAAGTTAAAGTAGAGGGATTAATAGATGAACTTTCGCATAGGACTGGAATGAACGTGAAAAATATTTATGAGGGAAAATGAAAATGCGTGCTGGAATTTCGAATGTATCCTCGGCCAGGAGGCCACAGTCGATCAATGGCCGATGGAATTGAATTTTCAGCATTGCCGGCGAGTGACACGAATGTACGGAAGACCTTCGAGTTTTCACGGTATCGAAAATGAAAAATTTATGTGTCACATTCGTGGATGTGCCCTTTCTGAACAGACAAACAGAAATTAGAGGGAAAAATAACGGGAAATAGGCGATGGTAGCAAGGCACAATTTTTTAAGGGAAAATGAACAATGATCGATTTCGAAGAATGAAAATTGGGAAACAGAAAAGAAAAAAGATTCAATATTTGATGGAATATATGGAAAAAATGGTACAGGATTGCATGGATATGATTGCTATAAATGAACTGAATTTGTAAACGTTGATTCATTTTCATAATTTTCTTTTTTTTATTATTTCATTAAGTAGAAAAATCCAATTGTATGACTAAAAAGGAAAAGAATTAATCCCAGCGTGAGAATAGATTATTATGAACGTAAAATTGAAAACAATCAAGAACCTACTAGTTAAAATTGACAAAAAAGGAAGACTTGGAACAAACAACGATAGAACCCAAATTGGAAAGTTCAACTAGAAGCAATTCGAACACTATTTAATTCCTCTCGTGGTCTTTGAAAACCCTGTGACATTTACAAAATAATAAAATATTTTTGCTGAGAAAAATAAGCATAGAAGAATGAAATTTAAAAGACAAAGACTATTCGATTTCATATATTAAAAATCTTAATTGTATCATGCTCGAGACAATCTTTAAAGAGCTAGAATACAAAAAGAAGTGAAAGTAAACATAACATCGTGTATTCGTATTATATGATCGATTCAAGATATATCGAAATGTATCGAACTCGAAGAAACTTCGCTAATACGTTATATCGATTACAGATGGAGCTTCTAACGTCTTGTGGCCAGTGGTTGAGTAATGGCGTGCAGAGAGGTAGAATGAAATTCACAAGGCATTAAGAGTAATTAGAGTCGGTTTAATTTCGATCGAAGCTGAACAGACGAGCGAAATCCAACCTAAAATTTCGGTTACAATCAATGATGCGTGCGGTTCGTGAGCATGGCACACGCAAAACTTCGCGGTAATCACTCACGATGGTAAGATACGTGGCCATGATAGTTCGCTTAAGCTGATGGATAACAAGACGGTGATTATCATTTCTCCTATTCATTGTTCGATCGAATATCTGACGTTCGAAAGATATCGCGTTTAATTCGTTCGATTTGTACGTTATTATACGTAATTTGTTTTGCAGGTTAGGTAATAACCGAAGAGGTTCTTGATTTGTAAAATATGCTCGATATCGGCCATCTTGAAAATTTTACTAGGTTTAAAAATCTAATTTAACTGTATATGATGTTTCGTTTCGATTGAAATTAACTATGAACTTTCGTGATTGTTAGAACTAATTGTATTTCCAGCTGTAGGAGAAATTTTTTAATTTTGTTAAAAGGATTTTTTAATTCGGTTAATTTAATTTTTTAGATATAGGAAACGTACGCTGCACTCTTCACGAACTTTAAAATCCAGTTTCGAGTTTTGGTACTGTAGATATATATGTAATTTAAAAATTTGATTAAACTTCGAAATTTTTATTATTGGTGACAGTCGTAAACACGTTCAAAGTGCTAGATTATTTCATAGTATATTCGGTAGATGAAATTTAAATTCGCGTTATGACATGACAGATAAATATGACAAACTATGTGATAACCTAGGAGAAAGCAGAAAAGTTTTCAGAAAAACTTACAAGCTTCCCAAGAAATTTAGGTTAGTCAGATTGCAATCAGTTACCGTATAACTCGTTAAAATTAATGTTTATAATTATATAAATATTAATTACACGAAGAAACGCTCATTAATACTGTTAAATTTAGCCCTAAATTATATATTGCATATATTGCAATATTATTCTATGTAATATTTATTCTCATATTCTATAACTTTATACTATAGTTTTATTGTAACTGATAACTCTATGACCCTGGATAAAACTTTTTTAGAGGCACTATTTTATAGCCACCGCTTAGAGGCTTATAAATTTGTCGTAATGCACAAATATAGAAAGCAATTAAGTTTACTTCTTGCAATAAAAATGCTGTTGCGTTGCATAACGTACGTCGTATTGATAAGCAAAAGCGCTTGAAATTTTACGGTTACAAAGAAACATATCGACAAACGTGTCGCAAGTTATTATTCATGGCATTAGAACGTGGTAGATAAAAATAAGTATATGGCATTGAGTGAGATGACCAAGCCATTTAATTTATCGAAGACGCTTAGTCTTCGTTACCATAACGTTGATACTTATGTAACTTCACACCTTTTAAATTGTCCAATGTTGATTCTTTAATCGACATTGTACATTTAGATTATACTTAATTTATAATAATTAATATCACAATATATCTACAACTAATACATAGAAGTTCGTAGAGGTAACTTGATTTTAACTTTCTCCAATCAAGTTTAAATCAAGGTAGCCAAAAATATTTTTTTTGTTAAAGTTCGAACAAGACTATATTAAAAAATTTATATTTTACTACAGTTGCTTTGTAGCAAATATAGAATATCTACAAACGTAACAAGATGAAAAGTTCCTTAAGAAAACTAATTGAAAAAATTTACAAGTTAAAGGAACTTCGTTAGAAAACTAAAAAAGGATGAATGTTACAGAAGTTCGAGCTATTAATTATTCACTGAAAACAAAAGGTGAATATCTCTAACAGTATTAACAAGCTACTAAATTTAACTAAAATTAATCATGCTAAAATATTGAACAACTTTTTTAATTTCTCATGTATAATCATAGTAGAGTCATTGTAAGGTCGTCAGTCACTGTCTCTTTAATGATACTTTTTATTTCAAGCTAGCTTATAACTTTTACTTGTAACTTTTAACGAACATCGATATTTCATCATATAACAGGGAGACAATTTTCAAGCTGAAACAGGAACCTAATATAGTTTTATTAAATTTTTCATCAAATTAGGTACCCAATTTTTTTTTTCCATTCACAATAAATCATAAAGACACATCACACAATAGATTCTCTAGTTGCTAGAAAATAATTACAATTTTTCTCATTTTAATTTTTAGTTTAAAAGTTTCAGTCACAATCCCAAAAACCAGTGTGTTAGTCTCCTTGTCCGCAACCACGAGAAATTGGCAAGCAGGATAAATTACACCATCATCGTTAAACTCTTTGCACTCGAATGACTCTTCACTGTAGCAAAGGATCAACTCCAAGATTTTTTCTGGTATAAAATCAATAACATTTTTTCATCAAATCATACACAAATGAACATATAAAATTACTTTATTTCAATATTTTACAGTATCGTTACATCATTTTGAATAATAATAATCCAATTATTTTCTCATTTCAATTTTAGTTGCAGCATCGAAATAAATCGCGACTGAAAGTAACTTCTCGCGAGGTAAAGGTTAATCAGTTCACTTGACTAAAATATATACTTTTTCAGTCTCGAGGAAGTTTGTTCTTAGGCCTTTCCTTGTCGATATAGGCTAATACCATCTATT